ATGAAGGTGAATCTTTATATCGGTATATTATGCGTCATTTTCATTAAAATTGATAGATTGATTAGCTGTTATATTGATGAATACTATATTTGGTATGTTGCGTATAAAGACAAATTATATAGACTGTTATCTTCTAGAAGCCATGGCTAGACGAAAATTATCGATCAATGTGAAATATAGTTTAAATATAATATGTGTAAATCTAGAAGCATGTTGTAACAAATAAATTATATTGATGACATTTTCGTTTCCAGTAGTCATTTTATTCTAACCTAGAATTGATTCCCATAGGGTTAACGAGGAGAGGTATACGAAGATTATAGAGGGTGATTCAAAATTCGATGTAAATATTCAAAGAACATATTGTTACGACCCTGGCGATCAATCCCAGCTACCTGCGATGAATGTGTAAACAAGCCATATTTCTTGGAATAGTAATTAGGTGATTCGACGGCTATTGAGATGACTCGAGAAGATTATCGACCTGTTCACGATATTTCGAGTGGAATCTAGACGTTTTATTAGGTAGTATAAATAGTTGTTGTTAGGGACAGGAAGGAAAGTCTTTATTTGGAAGCGTTGTAATAACGATCGAAGAAGTGTTGTGAATCGGAAGTGTTTAGTACGAGTATTGTTATTATTGTATAGTAGTGTTCAGAATAAATCGTTTTCAAGTGTTCTACCGAGTGTTAAATTATTACGGACCCAGAGTAAAATCGTAACAGTGGTGTCAGAAGTGTGGATTTCCGAGGACATTTGAATACGTATGGTGAATACAAGGAGTACGTCATACGACACGATGGAAGACATTATAAAATTCATGAAAAATCAGTTCGCAGAACTAGAGACACGACGACAGGAAGATGAGAAACGTCGTCAAGAAGAGTTACAGAAAATTCTAGAACATCAAGAAAAAGAACGAGAACATCAGAAAATCTTCTTCGAACAAATTCTGCATAAAACTGATAAGCAAATGGATGAGTTAAAGACAGATGTCACCAGAATTGATGACAAGCTTAACCAGGAAGTTTCAAGAATAGATTCCATGCTCGATGCAATCGAAAGAAATGTAGCGAATCAGATCACCTCGCTACGAATTCAAGATCGCCGTGACAGAGTTGCCACATCGGGTTCTTCCGTGAAACCACCAACTTTTGATGGACAGTCGCCTTGGTCTATGTATCGCCGACAATTTGAGGCTGCAGCAAGTGCAAATGGGTGGAGTGACGAGGAAAAAGCTACTGCACTCATAGTAGCTCTGAGAGGACCAGCTTTGGGGATGTTACAGTCGATCCCAGTTGAACAACAAAACCACTTCGGAGATTTAGTGGCTGCGCTAGAACTCAGGTATGGTGACCAACATCGAGAACAGCTTTACCGGGCTCAGATGAAAAATCGTGTGCAGAAGTCTGGAGAGAGCCTACAGGAGTTCGAAGCAGATGTGAGAAGACTGACTCAATTAGCCTACCCAGAGGCACCAGAGGACTTCAAAGAACAACTGGCGGTGCAGGTATTCATCGACGGGCTGAGAGACTCAGAAATACAGAAGACTCTGAGGCTTACACACTTTGAGAGGAGTGGTGAAGCCCTAGTAAGATCTCTGGAGGTAGAAGCGGCCTTCAACACCTCTAGGCCAAGAGTGAGAGCTGTGTCCATCGAGTAGCCTTCCGAAGACGTGGACCCAGTGGCGAAAATGTTGAGAAAAGTGCTTGAGGAACTCAAAGAAATTAAGAGTGGGTCTAGTAACCAGCGAAATAGATCCTGCTATCGCTGTGGCAGAACTGGACACCTGATAAGGGACTGTAAGGTGAGAGTACCACCACGATCTTCTTCACCTGCAAGGACGCCATCACGGTCGTACTCACCTGCGAGGACTAGGTCATCTAGTGAGTCCTCAGATAGATACCAGGAAAAACTAGAACTAGCCAGTGTATCGGGGCGCATGCTGGCTAGTAATAACGAAGCCCCCAGGGTCATTAACATCAAAAGGATAAGAAGAACAACTGATAGCCTGAACATCAAAGGAAAACTACACCAGAATGCAGATGCCATGTCCAGAAGACCTTGTTCGGAAACCTGTAAGCATTGTCTGCGCATTGAACATCGAGAAGGAACCGCTGATGTTAGAAAAACCAGGCTTGTGACCGATGATAAGTGGACAGCAGCACACATGAGACGAGATCAGGAGAACGATCCGAATATCGCCGATTTTCTACGTTGGAAAGAAAGAGGAACAGAAAGACCGACATGGAAGGATATCTCGGATAGAGGGCCTGCTTTCAAGGCGATGTGGGCACAATGGGACTCACTAGTTGTGGAGAATGGATTATTGAAGCGAGTTTGGGAATCAGCTGATGGTAGATCAACAATTTCTCAGCTGGTTGTGCCCCACATCAGAGTTAATGAAGTTCTGGAAGAAGTCCATGGCGGAAAATCTGGTGGACATTTTGGAGTTAACAGGACATTGAGTAAAATTCGAGAAAGATTTTACTGGGTTCAATGTCGTGACGACGTGGAAAGTTGGTGTAGAAAATGTCCTGTATGCGAAGCCAGTAAAGGTCCCAGAACGAGATCAAGAGCTGGAATGAAGCAATACAATGTGGGTGCACCGTTTGAAAGGATCGCCATCGATGTAGCCGGACCATTCCCTTTGACTGATGATGGAAATAAATACATCTTGGTTGCTATGGACTACTTCAGTAAGTGGGTAGAAGCATACGGCATGCCAAACCAAGAAGCCTCCACAGTTGCCAGGATATTGGTCGACAACATGTTTTCACGGTTCGGAGTACCAATGGAATTACATTCTGATCAAGGGAGAAATTTTGAGTCGAACTTATTCAAAAAGGTCTGTGATCTAATGGGAATCAGTAAGACGAGAACAACTCCACTACATCCACAATCCGATGGCATGGTCGAAAGATTCAACCGAACTATGGAAGAACATCTTTCCAAAGTAGTCGAAGAGCATCAGAGGGACTGGGACAGGCATCTTCCCTTATTCCTGATGGCGTATAGAGCAGCTGTCCATGATTCAACGAAGCTAACTCCAGCTAGTATAGTCTTTGGAAGAGAACTCCGCTTACCTTGTGACTTGGTGTTCGGTTCACCAAGTGTTGAAGAAAAGGAAGTACAAGACTACGCAGATGAGCTCCGGAATGCCTTGATGAAAACTCATGAGACTGCTCGGAAAAGATTGAAATTAGCAAGTGACAAAATGAAGGCACGGTACGATCTCAAAGCCAATTCAGAGGGATTCTTCGAAGGAGATCGAGTTTGGCTGTATAATCCTCGACGGAAGAAAGGCGTATCACCCAAATTAACACCATCTTGGGAAGGACCGTATACGGTGTTGAAAAGGATCAACGATGTGGTCTACAGAATCCAACGCAGCCCTAGGACAAAGATGAAAGTCGTTCATCTTGAAAGACTGAAGCCTTATCATGGTGAGGAAAGTTCTGTTTTTGATCGGGACGATCAAATTTGAAGAAGGGGGTAAATGTTACGACCCTGGCGATCAATCCCAGCTACCTGCGATGAATGTGTAAACAAGCCATATTTCTTGGAATAGTAATTAGGTGATTCGACGGCTATTGAGATGACTCGAGAAGATTATCGACCTGTTCACGATATTTCGAGTGGAATCTAGACGTTTTATTAGGTAGTATAAATAGTTGTTGTTAGGGACAGGAAGGAAAGTCTTTATTTGGAAGCGTTGTAATAACGATCGAAGAAGTGTTGTGAATCGGAAGTGTTTAGTACGAGTATTGTTATTATTGTATAGTAGTGTTCAGAATAAATCGTTTTCAAGTGTTCTACCGAGTGTTAAATTATTACGGACCCAGAGTAAAATCGTAACAATATTGTTGGGATCGAAATAGGAGTTTTTCTTCACATAAACATATCAACAGGTACAAACATTGGAATAGAAACAAAAAAAGGAGGAAAAAAACGAAAAAAGAATTCGACCAATTCAGTTACTGAAGAATAGGAAAATGTAAACTGTAGAATTTTTTTTGTTGGAGTCAAGAGACTACTTTTAGAGAGATGGAGAAAATTAGTAAAAAAAAACTACCTATTCAATATACAAGGTGATTCAAAATTCCTCCTTCGAGCTATAGTCACTGTAAAATGGGTAAAAAAACGGATGATTATCTGAAATTGTGATCATGATAACGAATCGAGTGCAAGTATTGCAGTATCGTACGCCTCTGAAATAGCAGTCTCAAATGCGTTCCGAAATGCGATCACCTCCGTATGCAAGCGTTTAACCCATTGCGTTCGAAACCGATGCATATTGCAAGATATCTACCGAATTCTTGAATTTTTTTATGGCCCACAAGATCATGCAATTCAAAGTCAGATAGTATCTCTTGTGTAACATAAAATTTGGACCATCAAGTTTACATCATTTTCAAAGCAAAAGAAAATAGATGAGTGTCCAAAAAAACAAGGGCATGCCAATTTTCGGAAGATCCGTTATTTTAGATAATCTTCTTTTTTTCACACATAGATTTACACCTTTCTCACAGTGGCTGAAGCTAGGAGGAGATGCATTTCTAGACACATGTTTATATGGAGAAAGTCATATTTTGACCCTAACAATATGTCCTTAAAATATTTACATCGAATTTTGAATTGTCCTGTGTATGGATGTTTCGATAAAAAACTCGTACAGTGAGGAATGGCCACAAAAAATTGATGTTTTTTTCTCATTTTCTCCATCTCTCCACAACTACAATCGTACATTTCCAATGACAACTAACCTACGATTATCGTTCGGAAGGTTCTAACAAATTATAAATGAAATTCTCGTGATCCTATACTCATGTCTATTTTTCCATTATCAGAATTGTTTACCAGATTGTTTCGGATTTTCGGACAGCTCTGGGAGGGGGTCCAGACCCCATTGACCCCTTAATTACGCCATTGTTGCGGACGCCCCTGTTGGTTACACTGTATAAAAAGTGTACTGTGTGCGAAAGAAATATAAACCATGATCTTTATAAAATTATAAATTTTATTGCATGTACAAAAAACACAATAAGTCGTAATACTGCGAAATTCTAATAAATAAATAAGCCTAAGTATATACAACTCTCCATCAATCCACTATCCGATCTCAGTACGAGTATCCCCCGTTACTAGCATAAGACTGCCCACCTCCGTTGCTGTAGCCTCCATTACCTCCAGACCCGAATCCGTTCCCTCCAGAACTGTACCCCCCATTAGAAGGAGCCCCGTAAGAAGAAGATGGAGGCCCAGCTGGAGGGGCACCATAAGAGGAGGAGGGGGGAGCACCATAAGAGGAGGAGGGGGGAGCACCGTACGACGAACTGGGAGGGGCACCGTAAGAGCTGCTTGGAGGAGATGGAGGGGCACCGTAAGAGCTACTGGGGGGGCCTGATGGAGGGGCACCGTAAGAGCTACTGGGGGGTCCTGATGGAGGGGCTCCGTACGAACTACTGGGAGGCCCTGATGGAGGGGCTCCGTAAGAGCTACTGGGGGGTCCTGATGGAGGGGCTCCGTAGCTGCTGGAAGGAGGGGCACCGTAGGAGGAGGAGGGAGAAGAGGGGTAACCGCCTCCGCCGTTGGATTTGCCGTTGGATGGACGGGAGGGGCCAACTGGGGTTCCGTAGCTGGTGGAGGGGGGTAGGTAGCTTGAGGAGATTCCTCCGCCATTTTTACCTGTTGAAAAAGAAAAAACAAGATAACGTTTGTTGGGAATTGTTCTGCATATACATCTAATAAACATAAGGTATCATTGAAACGATCCATCCCTTCTCAGAGTCGTTCAATTTTTCAAAGAAAAACAACAAAAGTACTAAGTCGGTCGACCACAAATTATGTCAAACTAGTTACAGAATCCATGGTTTGATATATTCTTTGACCTAGAGAGACCTTTCTGTAGGAGTTACAACGGTGAAAGTTCGTATTCCATGTGTTCCTCCATCTGAATATTTCAGATTTGTCCAGATTAGTCCAGTACTAACTATTTACAGGGTGTTTCATTATCAGTTCACGAAACTTGGAGTTTTTTGGGTCAAAATAAGAAAAAAGTTCACATAAACATATGTCCGAAGACAATTCAGTTTCATGATACAGGGTGATTGATTGATTGATAGCAGAATGATCAGTCAGGGTTCGAGGCCCAAAACACTGCAGCTTTTTGGCCTATTGTATTCCTGATCATGCTGTTGACTCAGGTGAACAGGTTCGCCACCTTGATGAGGTTATTTATTTATTTATTTATTTATTTATTTATTTATTTATTTATTTATTTATTTATTTATTTATTGAACAAATAACTTCCAGACAGAATAGGCTCTGGTATAAGGAAGTACATAATTATATACCTATAGGTGAACATAGCATCATTCAAAATATATCAACAACTGTAAATTGGCAAACAAAGAATAATATTTGTAAAAAAAAATGGCATGATTAATTTTATCAAGTCCGCTGAGAAATAATCAGTTTTTTTACTTCATTTTTGAATATACCTATATTTCTGCAATTTTTTATATTATCAGGTAGTTTATTGAATTCAGTTAAGGCTGAATGAGTGAATCTTTTTTGTCCGATTAGGGAGCTAGCGGCGTCAAGATGGAACAAGTTATATTGTCTAGTTTCATGATTATGAATTTCAGAATTCCGTATCAAAATAATATTCGACTTCAATTTTTTATTTATGATATGATATGATATTTTGAGAGTTTCAATTCTATATATTTCATCTAAAGAATACGTAATTGTTATTTCATACAATTGATTGGTTGGTGTATCAAATGGTTGACGATACAATACTTTTAACGATTTTCTATATAATGTTGATATTTTATTGAAATTATTTTTTGAACAAGATCCCCAAACATTTATTAAATAGTTGATACGACTCAGTATATGAGAGTAGAGAATCATGTTTGCAATTTTAATATCAAGTTTGGGACTTCTTCTCAATGCACCAATAATTGGAGATATTTTTTTTGTCAGAACATCAATATGTTTGTCCCACTTCAACCTGTCATCAAACCAAATACCAAGATATTTTATCTGGTCAGTTTGTTTCAAGAGTTCCTTTTTTTATTTTAAGGTTGAGGTGAATTTTTTGTTTATTTTTTTGGTGAAAAATCATATATTCTGTTTTGTTAGTATTTATCGATAAAAGGTTAGATTGGAGCCATTTTTCAAATATTTTCAAGTCTTCATTTATCATATTTTCTAAATCTGAAGGATTCTTGCCTTCATATAAAAGTACTGTATCATCTGCATACATGGTATAATCACACGCTAGACCAATTTCACTGATATTTTGAACATAAAGTAAATATAGTATAGGTCCTAAAACATTAGAAATGCCTCTTGAGAGTTTAATGCTCCCAGAAGGTTGTATCTCCAACGCGCTAGTACATGGGTGGCAGTTTCCTCCTCCTCATTGCATAGTCTGCATATGGGTTCGTCTGTATATGCTTCCTCAAGGGGCAGTGACCGGTTATTAGTCCCGTCAATTTTCTAATCTGACTTCTGTTCAGGCTCAGAATGTCGTTAGTGACTGTTCTGGACAGTGTTCCAACCATCAGTTCACTGTGTCTTAGTCCTGGAACATTGTTCCAGTATGCCTGATGTCTTTCTTGCGTCCACCTTGCCAGCCAGCCGCGTATTGAGGTTTTGGGGATACCGGTCCCATAAACAACGCCGCAGACCCTTGCCTAGCCAGAGCGTCAGCTGCTTTATTGCCTTCAATTCTCTTATGCCTTGGCACCCATTGAAGAGTTACCTTGTTGTGGTTAGCCAGGGTTAGCAGGCTTTGAAGGCAATCCAAGACCAGTCTTGATCTGATTTCATTGCATGTTAAAGATTGAATGGCCGCCTGATTTTCTGAGCAGATGAGCAGACATGCCTCAATAGCATGCACCTCTGCCTGGAATACTGAAGCATACCTCCCCAAGGAAGCACGAATCCTAGTTCTGGGTTTATCTCCATATATTCCGGATCCCGTACCCTAATCAGTCTTAGACCCGTCAGTGTACCACACTAACGTGCCTTCCTGACAGTTAGTCAAGACCATTTCACCCCAGTGGAGCTGAGTGATGAAAGGTCTGTAATAGTTATTTCTAGGCAGCATTTCGTCACTTTTCATGCTGATTATTTTGGTATGGCCCATGAAGATTTCAAAAGGCGGAATATTGAGTATGATTTCCATAGCAGCGATAGAAGTGCTGCGCATTGGACATGTGATGCAGAGACAAGCTAATCTCTGGAGTTTTGAAAGCTCTATTATAGCTGATCTCTGTTCAGTCTTAGGCCACCAGACAAGCGATCCATATACAATCATTGATCTCACCACAGCAGTATACAGCCAATGTAAAATGCGTGGTTTCAGTCCTCATGTGTTACCAATCACTCTCCAAGCAGCCATTAGTGCCATTTTGCCTTTGCTGACCGTCTTTCGTAGTTGAGTATTCCAGGTAAGCTTAGCATCTAAGGTTACTCCTAGATATTAAACCTCCTGTGTCATACTTAGCTGTGTCTCAAAAAGTCTAGTAACTTTTAGTTTGTCCAGTTTCTTCTTCTTATTGAAGGCCACAAGTGCAGTTTTACTAGGATTGACCTGCAGGTCTGCCTTTCTGCACCAGCCTTCTACTATCCTCAGGGCTCGCTCTGCATCAAGTCTGAATTAATTTCAGGATGCTGCCCGTCTACCATAATGACGACATCATCTGCATACCTTTGTGAGTAAATTTCTTCATTGTTCAGTTTTTTCAAAAGTTCGTCAATAACCAGATCCCACAGCAGGGGAGGAAGAACTCCTTCCTGTGGACAACCCCTAGAAATGGTCACTTCCATGGTTTCACCAAGCAATGAAGATTCCGCTGTTCTGTTGTGTACCATGTTTTTTATCCACAGGCATGTAGTGTCTTCCACTCCACGCCCAACAACCGCTGCTACCATGGATATGAAGGGTGTGAGGTCAAATGCCCCTTCAATATCCAGGAGATACAGGGTCCTCAAGTTCCTCGAAAATTTTTATGAATTTCTGAAATGTGCCTGTATCGATAGTGATAAAATTCACAATGTCTGTTGAATTCACAATGAACTAATACAGCTGATGAAAATTATCAGGGGCGAGCCCACGGGACGAGTCCAATGTTTTTTCCCACAAAAAATAACACCCAGTATTTTTTTCAAATTTAAATTTGAACTCAAAATACATCTTTCTTGTCTCTTCAGTTTTTTTCGTATCGTAAAAAATATTGAGAAACTTGAGACCCTGTATCTCGGGAACCAATCGTTGTTGGGAATTTGTTTATATAAACTTTTTTCTTATTTTGTCCCAAAAACAACCACCTCGATGTTTTATGCAATCTGAACGACAGATACTGTATATTATGAAATTTTCTTCATTGAATATCGGTCAACGGGTCTAAATTTTAGACAAGTATTTCCATGCATTTGCATAGTTTTCAGGACCACTTCTTGAAATCGCAAGCTCCTATAAACACAGTGTTATCATAGATTAACGACTCCCCGTTATCATTACTGAATGAACTTACCAAATCCATTACCATTGCCGAAACCATTTCCTCTTCCTTTTCCTCTGCCATTGCCTCTGCCGTTTCCGTTAGACGGAGCACCGTATGAGGAGGAGGGGGGAGCACCGTATGAGGAGGAGGGGGGAGCACCGTATGAGGAAGAAGGGGGAGCTCCATATGAGGAAGAGGGGGGAGCTCCGTATGAGCTGGAGGGGGGAGCTCCGTATGAGGAGGAAGGAGGAGCACCGTATGAGGAGGAGGGGGGAGCTCCGTATGAGGAAGAGGGTATGGAAGGTGGTGCGCCGTAACTTGAAGAGATTCCGCCACCGTTACCGCCGCCTTTTTTGCCAAAACCATTGCCAAATCCTCCACCTTGAAATGTCAAGTAGAATTCGAAATTATGACACTTCTGAACTATATGGTTATTCATAGTCTCGATATTCTAAGCCGACAATATTGGTATGCCATGAGTCCTCACTATTATGGTATAATCTTCATGGAAATCTAATCGATTAAGTGTGTTCAACAAATGAATCTCATTAAATTATTTAACAAATCATTTCATAATCACTGTCACTCATTGAATACTCAACTATTCTCGATCGTATTCATAACACGACCTAGAAATTTCACTGACAGAAAATTCGATTTTCGATTTGGTTTATTAATGGTTTGTATGACGACTGAATTCTCAGACTACTTGATTTATTATATCAAAACACTCGAAATGAAAATAAACAAGGTGAAGGGCGATGTGCTTCCTTTGTGGAATTGTGGATTAAAATCAATAAATTATGTTGATACTTTAGTGTCAGTAGTGGGAAAAAAGTACATGTACAAAATATCTATTGCAATTTTCTAGTCCATGAATTGCCTGTATGATTTATAGTGTTTTAAACATAATAAAGCTATTCAAGAAGTTATTCCTTCCATCATGAATAATAATCAAAATTATAGAATTTTTACCTATTTTGGATCATCAACTGGACAGCTTTATTTCTACATAAACAGGACTTGAAAGTAGCATATAGAACAAATCACACGTTGGGAAGGTTTATCAAGAATAATAAAGACAAAACTTCTAAATTCGAAATATCAGGGGTATACAAACTCAACTATGGATCTTGTGCTAAGGTATAATTATATCGATCAGACAGGTCGTACGTTTAATCAACCGCATTCATGAACATAAAATGAATTATTTGAAGAAGAAAACAAATCCAACATACGCCAACCATATATTAGAAGAAAACCATAGTTTTGATGATAATTTCGAAATTCTACACTTAGAAAATAAAGGAATGAAACTCAATCATTTCGAATCATTAGAAATCAACAAACTCAAAAGTCCTGACATTTCAATTAACGATTAGACCTCAATAGTTCACCACTGTTGACTTTGTTTTCTCAGTAGGTAATAATAAGTATTTGATATCAACCCTTTCAAAGTTAATCCGGTACACAGTATTTCAATGTAGATATTGTGCCTGATTTCCGAAAATGGAGGTTTATCGAACCTGTCCAGAGGTAACTGATTTTTCAGGTTGTGAAAGTAGGATATACAGGGTGATTCACATAAGAACCGACATAGAGCAGGGGCATGTAGGGGGTCCCAAGATATGTCAATTTAACGCAACTTACCTCCATACCAAGTTGCTTTCCTGAGGAGTTATAGGCTTTGAAAGTGAAGTTATAAATCTTGAAAAAAATCAATATCTTCGTTATTCTTGAACTTAAAGCAACCAGATTTGGTACACTTCGTGAATGTATTTAGGGCGTTACTTGACAGTAACTTGAGCTCAATTGAAATTTGTAAAGGGGGTATACCGGGTGGCGCAGCATTAATATTCAACAGAATTTTGTTAACCCTCGATATGTATTCAAAAAATCTTTGCTTTGTTGTGTGGGCAATTCAATTCTAAGAATTTTTTTACTCCAGTAATTTTTCGAAAAACCTCATCATTTTCATCAAAAACTCGAATAACTGGAAACGCGCGCTCTAGTTGTGTTATTTTAAATCATCGAAAATTCAAAAGTTGGCTATGAAAATAAACGTACAACAAGGAAGTAGGTCATCAATTGTGATCAGTAGAAATTGGCTGGCAAATTATCATTTAGATACGTAACAAAATAAGTAAAGTAAGTACAGATACTGAAATGTGAAAAACTGGGATTAACAACTAACCAAAATAAACACGAAAAACTCAAACAACAACCAGAACAAATGATTGTTTATCGATAAATTACTTAATGGAACAACTTACTTGCTTCATTGTCGAGTTTGACGTTTATTTTCATAGCCAACTTTGAAATTTTCGATGACTTTAAATAACACACCTAGAGTACGCGTTTTGAGTAATCAGAGTTTTTGATGAAAATGATGAGATTTTCGATAAATTACTAGGCTAAGAAAAGTTTAAGAATTGAATCGCCCACAAAACAAAGCGAAGATTTTCAAAATCCATCAGGGGTTAACAAAATTCTGTTGAATATTAATGGTGCGCCACCCGGTATACCCCCTTTACAGATTTCAATTGAACTCTTGTTACTGTCAAGTAACGCCCCAAATACATCCACAAAGTGTACCAAATTTGGTTGCTTTAAGTTCAAGAATAACGGAGATATTGATTTTTTTCAAAATTTGTAACTTCACTTTCAAAGCCTTTAACTCCTTAGGGAAGCAACTTGGTATAGAGGTAGGTTGCGTTAAATTGCCATATTTTGGGACCCCCTACATGCCCCTGCTCTATGTCGGTTCTTATGTGAATCACCCTGTATAAGCAAGCCAAGGTTAATTTAGTTCATCATAGCAGTATATCACCTGACGAAGCTACTGTGTTAGCGAAACATGTCGTGTGTTTGAGAATTTTGTGGAAATCTTATCGTTTGTGAAGTTTTTCATTTATTACCATTATTATTATAAGAAAGATAATCTTACCAAACCCATTTCCACCTGACGGAGCCCCATACGACGAAGACGGCGGCGCCCCATAGCTGGAAGACGGTGGAGATGGGGGTGCCCCATAGCTAGACGAGGGAGGAGCCCCGTAGCTAGACGAGGGAGGCGCCCCATAGCTAGAAGAGGGCGCAGGGGGTGCTCCGTAACCGGAAGATATTCCTCCACCGTTGCCGAATCCTCCGCCCCCACCATGTCCTCCACCGTTGCCAAATCCACCGCCTCCGCCTCCACCGTTGCCAAATCCTCCGCCTCCACCGCCACCGAAACCGCCGCCGCCGCTGTAACCGCCACCGTTGCCTCCGCCGTTTGAGGGCGGTAGGTAGCTGCTGGATGGTCTGCCGAAGCCGTTGCTCAAGGGCGCTGAATAAAACAGTTCTTCAGAAACTCCACAAGATCATGAGAAATTAATATTGTCATGTATCATTATAATTGAGCATCAGATTCAAGATCCTCAATCATCAATTCACTTTATCAAAACCTTTTTCTTTGATTATTTCTCTCGTCTAATAAATATCAGTCATCAACCAATGATACGTTCGTTTCCTGTTCGACAGGACCAATCAACACGCTCTATTAGCGACTATTTACATGGTGCATAATAGTAACAGACTATTCAGCATAATACCTATATTTCAATGAACCTGTGCATCTGACATTACTCTAAATAAATACATCTTAAACGTCAAATAAAATCAATTGTGTTGAAGCTATATTAGTATTTGAAAATGAATCGATTTGGAGAAACTATAAACGAAGAGATAGATAGGATAATCGAGGGTACAATCCCTGACAATACAGTGAGGAGTAAAAATAGCGTATGGAATCAGTTTACTAAATTTTGCGGGCATCGTCAATATGAATTGAATGAGTCGACACCAATCACAAAACTGAATGATATTCTGAAAGACTGGGCCTGGAATATGAAAAAAGAAAATGGGCAAGATTATAAAGAATATACTGTGAAGTGCATGTGGAATTCTACAGCTAAAACTCTTCAAGAGATGTATTTCAAGAAGTATAACATAAAAATAGATCCATTTCAAGCGTGCGAATTCAAAAGTTCTCGAGACGCACGCAATGCCAAGAGACGGGAATTGCAGAAACATCAGGAAAAACGGAAACAAAGTTCAACGGCTTTAAGTATAGAAAATATGTTTGCTATTATTGACAAATGCGATGAAAAAACTCCAGATGGACTTCAAAAAAAATTTTACTATTTGGCTTCAGTAGAATTAGCGTGGCGTGGGGGCGAAGGTTGTTCAGCTTTGATTGAACATTTCAAATTTCAAATTCAGAATAATGGTAATGAATCAGGTAGGATAGAATATAACCTAATTTTTACAAAAACCTGTCAAGGAGGAAACCAGAAATGCGCGGACAGCAAGTGGCTTACTAAAAATGAACAAAACCCACAGCGCTGTCCAGTTAGATTGTTCACAGAATTGATTGGAAAAAGAGGACCAGGAATCACATGTCCACGCTTGTTCCTAACTCCAAATCCATTCTGGCAGAATAGAAACTCATTGTGGTACAAGAATTCGCCGGTTGGAAAAAACGAATTTTCAAAATGGACTAAATTGGGAGCAAAGTCTATTGGTTTAGATACCAACCAATTGAAAATTACAAACCATTCTTGCAGATCAACTGCAGTTTCTCAACTGGCAAAATCTGGAGTACCAGAGCAGCAACTCATTCAAATTACTGGCCACGCTAGTACTTCTTCGATTCAACCTTACTTGCAGATGGATGAACAACATCACCAGGGTATTTTGAACAGATTGAGAAATCAGAATGAATGTGGACCTTCTACTGTAAATACTGCAAGTTCTTCAAAAGCTGAACAAATGTCGCAAATTACACATGGTGGAAATGTCACATACAATAATTGTGTTTTTAATTTCAATCGATAAATTATAAATATGGTGCTGTTTTTGTTTAGATTTTGTAGTTTGTTCTTGATATCTTGAATAAATTATTCCAAATTGTTTAATTTTCATTCATTCATATGACTGATATAGAGAAGTGGATTCAAGAAATTGTCGACTATTTTATTGCTGCTAAATTTCTCTTGTATTTATTAATTTTACTCGACATTATTTTGGCATTAATAATCAGAGATGAAAGCCCTCGAGCTTCGCTCTCGGGCTCTCATCAGATTATTAATGCCAAAATAATGTCTCGTTGAATTATTATAAAATACAGTCGAAATTTAGATGCAATAAAAATAGTCGACTATTTATCAAGGTCTTGTTATATTACCCTTGACAATTTTACTCATGTATAAAAAAATCCCATGAGCCGCTGCGATTTCGTTATTATGACAGCGTTTATGTCAATCTTGCGTTTGTCAGAATAGTTCATAATCTTTGGAAATGTCGCGATTTTGAGTGGAGAAATTGAAAAATCTATCAACAATAATGTGATTTACGCATTCCTGAAATTGTCTTACCGAATTACACTCAAGCATTTTTTTAGGTCGAAGTAAACTTGACATTTATGAATAATTAATTGTTGCCTTTATGAAATATAACTCAACTTACGGACTTGACTCGAAGGCATTTTTTTTCGTTTAATTTCCAGGCATCCAAATTCTCATTGAACTGTCAAGTTTTAATTTTTTTCTCAGACACATTATATATTCAAATGACGAAAATTGGTACAGGTATATTTGAAAAAATCCTCAATGATAATTTGTGATTATTTCTTCCTAAAAAAACCACAGAACTACATTTTTTGCTCATCACCTATTTGAAGAAAATGATGATTCGTTTTTTCGGACACCCTGTGTTCTATGATGATGAAAATCGGTACAGGTATATTTCAACTGGTACTGATTCAGAATCCATCATCAAGTTTTGTGGAAAAAAATCCCTAATAGTACTTTCTGGAATATGTGTCATTGAAATTTGTCGCAGTTGGCCACGATAACAGTCCAAGAATTAGATCACTGTCTCATTGGATGAGCATTTCAAATACCTATCCAACAAAAAAAGGTTTTTTGAAATTGGTCGGATAATAACGATTTTACAGGGGTGGTAAGTCCTTAAGGTGGACACACTGTATATATATATATATTATGGCAGGGAAGTCGATGCTGACCAGTAGGAATGAAACCAGTGTATATTGGGGGTAGCAGCAGTGTAAAAGGAAATACTCTTTAAAGGTTATCCAACCTTTCGGAAATGTTTATTTCCATCATCAGGATTAATCTTTGGTGAGGTTGGTTACAACGTTGTTTAACGTATGAAATTGTGAAATATATGATGACATACTGTCCATAATTGCTTACGTAGACACATAGGAGACTTACATTTGCATTATCACACACTATATAAACAGTTACTTATTTATTGGAAATTTGGAATTATAAAATTTGTTAAAAAAAAAGGAGGGAAGAGTTGCAAGTCACATTTCTCAATGTGATGAAAATATTAATTCTTTCTCGGTTTATTCAATAGAAAACAACTACTTTCCTGGCTATATGCCACGACGAACATTGAATTACATCTGTTGAACACACACGATGAGAATTTGAAAACAAAATCTTCTGAAGTAGAGAATTTGCATTCTACTTCATATAAAAATATGCACATATTATCATTCTGAATATTCAACAGAAAACGACTACTTTCCTGGCTATCTGCCACGTCGAACATTGAATTATATCTGTTGAATATTCAAAAAGAGAGCATGAAAAATCAAAATCCTCTGAAATTGAGAATTGACGTTATCTCTCGAATCGAATAGAATAATATGATGTATTATGATATAAAAATATGACTTACCAATATGTAAGTTATAAATTATGATAATGACTTTTAAACATTTATATCAAGTAGTATATGAATACAATGAAGGTATTATTATTTATTTTCTCGCGATCGTCCAGTCGATCGCGATAGACTGTTTGACCACCCCATACGTGAAGGATCGATTTCTATCAACGACAATTTTGATAAAATTGTTGCCGTTTTTGTCTGCTAGCTTTCCAACTATTCGTGTATCGCCGTAAGGGTTCGTTCCGAAACGTAGTTACAAAGCACAAAACATGACAATAATGATGCTTTATAACTGATATCTAAGCTGGTATTACTTATATCGAATATTTGCGTATTGATCAAGTATGAAAAATGCTGGAAGAACCAGTGAAAGTTACCCACGAGTCATTCAGTAATCCTAGAATTCATTCTTTCAAAATCAAGTTGAAAAAATCAACTTATTAGTGCATATCCACGTTCTATACCATTCTATTTCGTTGCTTTGTTTCAATTATCTCACTTCATTTCACTGACTCCAAATTACCTTTCCCTTTCCTGTAGTGTAGAGAATGCCTCCTTATCATCATAATTATTGTAAGTAAATTCTTCTAACGTTGCAATCGTGAAGAATGCAATGTAACCATGTGTGTTCGTCTTCAATGAAAAGTGAAATTTCTCCGCATGAGTTATGATAAGGCATAGAAAATAACAGTACCGGACTAGCTCACGATGTTGAATTATCATCAGTGCATGTGCAGTAAAGGACGTTCTTTTATTCACCGATGGCTTCATCAATCCACCAACTGTGTTCATATATTCTTTGTTGGATTCCAGTTTGACCTAACCACGCGTTCATTTATCACTGATGTGTCAACCAAAATTGCAAACCATTCTACCGATGTACAGAGATGGTGAACGAATTTTGGAGGCGTTCGAAATGAAAGCGACAGCATAACCTCAAAAAACTAAAAACAAAATATTGGATTTGAAAGCTGTTTGCCATTACCATAAGAAAAAATATGAATGAAATAATCGAAATCAGACTAGAATATGAAAATAAAAGAAAAGCTGCATTATTGACACCAACACAATTTCGAGTGTTAGGTACTTTTTTCATTCCCATCGTGAATTTCAAGACATTAGTGCAAACATTCAGGAAACTTGAGTACCAACAGAGAATTATTATTAATGACTCTATTCATATCATCATAATTTGATGCTATGTTTTGAATAGGTTGTTGAGAATTTCCAACCTATCTCGTATACTCCCCAACATAAACAATATTCCATCCTCAGAACTATCAGAAGAACTGCTAGAACTTTTGGATTTGGAGACAAGGACTTAAACAACACCTGCAATCGAGCTTTTAATACATCATTTCCCATTTTATATTAGTTTTCGCCAATTCTGAGCTTCAATTTGAAAATAATAAAATCTCCATCAAATCACGACAAGAAAAATAAATGAAGTAAAAAACAGTTGTGATTGTCATGTCACTTATGACTCGATTCGTCATTTCCATCAATGATGAAAATGTGGTGTGAAAGAGAACATGCCTGTATTCACATTTTTCTGTTTTTTGATTCCATTGTCGCTATATTTCAGGAAAATATCTAGTACCGAATTTGCTGAGTTGTTTTCTGTACTCCAAGTAACTATGAAAGGTATATGCAATGAACCAAGGAATATATTCAAGCAGATGATAAAGAAATTCATTATCTATCAGAAAACCACAACTTGACCTCAGTTTATAGAGAGAAATTGAATTCCTATCTCAGATCATTCTTTATTTGAATTCAAAACCAAGAACAATGTTTAGTTTTTATTTCGAAATGGCCCCGTATCGTCATTTTTTAGGCAGAACTTTCCCATATGCCAATAGAAGGTTGAAGTTTTTTTCCTGAGGTGCTCGAATATCTTTATGGACACCACAAAGGACCGCCTGATTTCGTCTATGAAGAATTTTAAACATTTTCCACCTCCTACGAGTAATGGGAATAGTAGTCAGTGCCCCTTGCACAGTGCTAAAGCTGTTTACTTTGAGATGTCACCCTGTTCCTCAGAGGTCCCATTATCGACACTATACAGGGTGAGTTATGACTAACCAGCCATAGCCTAATGACGGATAAACGAAGTCAAGGTGAGTTGATATACAGGGTGTAACTAAATAAGTATAAAACATTTGTGGAGGTGATTCCTCATCGAAAAAAAGATAGGATCTTTCATATAAAGAAACTTCATTGGAGGATCCCATCCCATCCCCCAGCTCCTTGAAGGGGGTACATAAAATTTGTTTAACAATTTTTTTCACAAATTAAGAACAGAACAACAATAAACAATTAGTATTACTTCAAGTTCAAATATTTACAAAATGACAGCTTGATTCCTTGTGATATTCGAAGAAATAAAGTTCATATCAACATGTGTCCTAACTTGCTTCATTTTCGAGATACAGGGATTACAGGGTATTGATATTTCCATGAAAAATCTTTTTTCTATTCATTTCTCAATTTTCTTTTCATCGATTTCAATGAAACGTTGTGATTCTGTTAATGGTAATATGGAGCTTCTTCTAGTGCTATTAGATTCGAAATAATATTTCCAGTGGCGTCACAGTGGGTAAATTTATCGATATTCATGGTGAATGTCACTAGCCTCAGGGGCTCACGACTTGTGAGTACGGGAATGGCAATCCCGAGGTACCCTAGCCGGATACTCATTAATCTTCAACTTGTCTTTGATGGTATCCTCTTCACTCTTCAGTTTCCAATCTTTTTCTCCATCGGCCTCCCTTGGTCACTTCTCCTCTTTTTCTTCTCCCCTAAAGCCCAACCTCACCATAGTGCGGGGAGGACAAACCGCGACTGCTCGGCAGATTGAGCATTTTGGGAACATCTTTGCTATCATCACTCAGATGGGACAGTTCTGTGGACATCTGAGTGCGAGGATGGGGCAATTTGTGAACATCTGCTCATGTGGCCGCGGATTGATAACGAGGCTCTGGCAATCCCCTCAGGGGCTCACAACTTGTGAGTACGGGAATGGTGAACCCGAGGTACCCTAGCCGGATATTCACCATACTTCAACTTGTCTTGGGTGATATCCTCTTCTCTCCTCCGTTTTCAATCTTTCTATCGGCCTTTCTTGGCCAACTTCTCTTTTCCTCTTCCCCTCCAAGCCCAACCTCACCATCAAGTGGTGTGGGGAAGGCAGGCCGCGGCCGCTTGACAGATGAAGCATTTTGGGACCATCTTTGCTATCTTCTGCCAGATGGAACAATTTGTGGACATCTGTGGCAGGGATGGGGCGATTTGCTGATGTTTGTCTAGGTGGTCGAGGACTGGTCAACGAGGCTCTGGCAACCTAATCCAAGCTGTGGGAAGGAAAACTTTTGGCCTTCTTCGTAGACGAGAACAGGGATCGGAAGAGCAATCTTCAGGAACCTGAACGATAAGGGTATTTCATATTGAAGTGGCCCTTAATAGGCACCATGAGTCGTATGTGGTAAAATTGATAACGGCATGTAGGTGAGATACAATGGGCCACTAGGCCTAAGTGTCGTCGGAGCCTACAACGGGGTGGAGTGTTTAGTGGGTATACCATGGAGGGGACTCCCACACTATCATATGGGGGATTGGACCCATATGATGTCTATAAAAGATTTCAACCACCTCGGCAAAAAAAAAAAAAAAAAAAAAAAAAAAGCTTCAGCTACTCATTGGGGAAGTATGCTTCAGTTTTCCGAGCAGAGGTGTACGCAATTCTCCAATGTGCGGAAGAAAATAACAGGAGAGCCGTGGAAAACGAGCAGATCCGTATTATGTCAGACAGTCAAGCGGCACTTAAGGCAATAGAAAGCCAGGAAGTGACATCTCGACTGGTATGGGATTGCAAGTGGGAACTGAGAACTTTGGCAGACCGGAACTGCGTCAAGCTAATCTGGGTGCCAGGTCATCAGGGAATCGCTGGCAATGAGAATGCTGACGAACTCGCAAGAAGAGGGTCGGACAACGAGCCAGATCCAGGACAGACTCTTGGAGTACCAAAACGTACAGCACGAGGGTCAGTTAGAGACTGGATTCAGGCAAAACATAAGAGCTACTGGAAAAACATCCCAAGAAACAGACATGGGAAACAATACATTAAGGAACCAAGTCATAAACGAACTGTAGACCTGCTCAACTTGAACAGAGCACAGATAAAAACTGTTACGGGACTCATGACTGGCCATGCGCCAGCAAAGGAGCATCTCACCAGAATGAGACTGTACAATGGCGACCCAAGCTGCAGACTATATGTGGCAAGGAACCAGAAACAGTAGCACATATACTGTGCCGATGTGATGCATTGGACCGCAGAAGACAGAAGATCCTTGGGCAACCAGTTGGCGAACCAGAAATATTCAACCCACATCCAGTGAAGGATCTGTACTGACTTGTTCAAGGTACAGAGATAATGGAGTGGGCACAATAGAGAACATTAGGTAAGATACAATGGGCCACCATAAAGTGTCGTCGGAGACATGGTCAGACGAGCCCACAAACGGGGTGGAGTTTTTAGTGGGTAAACCCTGGCTAGAGTCAGGGGAGTCCCACACTACCATATGGGGGATAGGACCCATATGGTGTCCATAAAGGATTTAAACCACCTCGACGAAAAAAAAAAAAAAAAATGGTGAATGTCATTGTACGCCACCGGTTTTTCTGAGTTCCATATTTTTATCAGATTGAACTATTGCAATAGCAACTTTTTCATTTTCTTGTGATTTTTGTATCCAGCTTAGTTTTTGAGTAAACAATAAAAATTCGATTTGACTCCAAATTTCAATGTAGGTGTTTTCAAGACTTCCATTGAGATAACTCAATAACCCCAATTAGAAACATTTTGAAATTCCGAGGCCTTCTCAATCCCCATCCATACTGAATTTTGGTACCACGTATGTTTAATATCACAAGAAAACACCCCTTGGATTTTTCAGGTGTAGTTTAGATATACCCTGTATAGTAAAAAGTATCCTGGCATGAGATTTCAGACATTATCATCCGTTATTCTGATCTGGATGGATATTTTCGTCTCAAATTCTGGTATCGTATAGATAATTAATATACGTCTCTGATGAGGTTTCACTCGACCCACTATTGCCACAGAATACTCAAGGAATTGCATATGAAAAACATACACTTCAACTTGGGGCCAAGCCTACACTGGTAGGAATAAATTATAGAAATAATTACAATGATCATTATTGTACTCACCGTCACGCTTTGCTGGCTGTCTCGCCATGGAACCAGTCAACAAACAGCATAGTGCAAGTGTGTGGCTCTGGAAAAACGAATTAAAATATTTTTACTATTCTTTCATAATGCTATCTACACTAATCATCCTAGGTTCCATGTGAGTGGGGCGAACACCTCCCCTCCACTGCGACCCCAGATGGGTAATCATCCTAACCTCCAGACCAAATATTTATATCTACTAATATTATTCAGAGGAAAGATTTGTTTGTTTGTATTGAATAGACTCCAAACCTAATAGACTTATTTGAAAAACTCTCCTTCCAATGAAAGCCGATGTTATCCCTGATGATCATAGGCTACTTTTTACCGGAAGAAAATGCATTATTCCTACGGGAAAACTGGCAATATTAGGACAAGGGTATAGTAACAATTATCCTTCCGGACTTTTTGGCTAGGCTACGCTTAGTCGACGGTGAGACTGCTGGCTGCAGACTGCCCTGCACTGATGAGAGTCAAAGAGCTCGAAACCGGTCTGTAGGTGTCTAGCGTGGCCTGGCTAACTCGAAATCAATAGGCATTCAGGAAAGAATGAGTTGTATCAGTATTCGTTTACACGAGTCGATGTATATATTTCGGAAGGATGCAATTCAATGTTCTGCATGTCATTAGTTAGGAAAGTAGTTGTTTTTCTCCCGAAATCTACCATTGTTGTTCATTTTATGAAAATTGTTCACTTTGGGCTTTTGTATGTATTTAATGTCTCATTCCACTTTGAGCCTTGTGACTATTTCGTAGTTGACATATAAAGTTATTGAAGTGATATCATTAGAATTTTAGGTTCCTTAAAATAGCAATATAACCTATACCCGATTCGGACATTGAAAAATAATTACATGATATTTCCTCAAAATTAAATGGGTGACAACACAGGAAGAGAGATTATGACGTCAGTATTGTATAGACAAGTTTGCCGTCGAACGCTATTGTTTAAACTGGTTTGAACGTTCTATGAAATTAAATAGTGTTTTCGAAGTATAACAGCAAGATTATTCAATCACAAAATTGATGCATTCATGTTATATCATTACTATATTTCAGTTATATACATTTAAATTTAATTCACACATTTGTGGTCTTGTCTATTTACTGAATTGATAGAGAAATTCAATACCTTGAACATCATTTTAGAAAGATGTGAATATGTTGAGGATATTGGTGAATTATAATTTCTCTTCTGAATGAAATATTCAATGGTTGTTACATGACTCACTGAATGATGATAATGACATTCGAGTCATTCATCGTTATTGGTTTGTTGTGCCTTTCAATGAAGAAGTTCAGTTCGTCCTATATCTGGATAAAAAATCGCTCGAATTTGAGTCATTGAAACAATTCTCTGATATAACAATAATCTCTAAAACATAATCCTGACTTGCTTTTGGGTGTATGATAAATTGACATTCATCATACAGGGCGTGGAAAGAAATTCTGAATTGAGACTCTATCACGAATCTGCGATTAGAGGTCTATGAAAAAATCACAAGTTTCCATCGTTCAAGTTTGAACTCCTTGATTGGGTATGAAAGTGAAAATGGATATATATATATTTATATGAAGCAATACATTGAGAATTCGCATTCTCTATGTGATGAGAATATCTACTCATTTTCAGTTTATTCAATGGAAAACAACAACTTTCCTGGCTATATGCCACGACGGACATTGAATTATATCTATTGAACACACACGATAAGAGTTTGAAAATAAAATATAAAAACTTCTGAAATTGAGAATTTGCATTCTCCTTCAGACAAAAATATGTATATGCACACATCATTCTACAGTATTGAAATATACCAAGAAAGTATGGGGATATTAGTTGAAAAATAAGTCAGGATTATTGTTGAAAAGGAATATTCTCAGATAAATTATGGACATACAAAAATGGATATATATATATATTTATATGAAGCAATACATTGAGAATTCGCATTCTCTATGTGATGAGAATATCTACTCTTTTCCAGTTTATTCAACAGAAAACAACTACTTGCCTGGCTATTTGCCACGTCGAACATTGAATTATATCAAACATTCAAAAGGAGAACATGAAAAATAAAAAATAAAATCCTCCGAAATTGAGAATTGACATTCTTCTTCAAATCGGACGAATAATATGATGTATAATGATATAGAAATATAACTTACCAATATATTCAGCATTGGAATGAAAGTTGGAATGTATAGGAGAAGTATACTGGCATGAACTCTGATCTTGATGGTTTCATTGCAATAAAGTCATATAACCTGTGTGAGAGAGATAATATTTCCCATATCACTGATATGAATGATTATTTTTGGAAGTTTTCAAGCTCATCAAGATCAGAGTTTATGCCAGTATACTTCTCCTATACATTCCAATTTTCATTTCAATGCAAAATAAGTTTTCTTTATCATTATACCATATTATTCATCCGATTTGAAGAAGAATGTCAATTCTCATTATTCTCAATTTCGTAGGATTTTATTTTTTATTTTTCATGTTCTTTTGAATATTCATCAGATATAATTCAATGTTCGACGTGGCAAATAGCCAGGAAAGTAGTTGTTTTCTGTTGAATATTCAGAATGATGTGTGCATATACATATTTTTGTCTGAAGGAGAATGCAAATTCTTAATTTCAATTTTTATATTTTATTTTCAAACTCTCATCGTGTGTGTTCAATAGATATAATTCAATGTTCGTCGTGGCATATAGCCAGGAAAGTAGTTTTCTATTGAATAAACTGGAAAAGAGTAGCTATATTCTCATCACATAGAGAATGCGAATTCTCAATGTATTGCTTCATATAAATATATATCCATTTTTGTATGTCCATAATTTATCTGAGAATATTCCTTTTCAACAATAATCCTGACTTATTTTTCAACTAATATCCCCATACTTTCTTGGTATATTTCAATACTGTAGGTTCTATGTTTTTGTCATTTGCATCACAAACCGATTGAAATACACTTGTTTTCTCACTGTAGACATCAATTTCAGTTAATGGTTTGTGATTTAAGCAATTATTGTCATTGGAATGGTCAACAACAGAGATACAATGACTTTATACATCAGTTTCTCTAGCACTGATGACATAAAGTTACGTGACATTAAATTTCTTTTTCCTGATAGCTTTAACCAATTAAGGAATAATTGTTTCCGGAAGCTTAACTGAAAAAAAGATAAGACACTGTAGGCCAGAAATTTGAGATTTAGTGTTTTGGAAGCAATGAAGTGGAATATTCCTTCGAAACAAGGAAAATCATAGAAACCTACATCCGAAATGTCCAGTAACAGTTGTAGATACACGAAAAAAAAGGATTTGTTGCATCAACAAATTATTTATGCTTGAGTTATTTTTGTTGGACTGAGTAATTTTTTGTTGAATCAACCAGATACATGATTATTCTATGGAAGCAGTTTGTTCAAATCAAGAATGTAGTCTAATTGAATCAACAGTATACTATCAATTCCATCCATCCAACAAAATATATGGTTTCCTCAAAAACAAATCATGTCGATCCAAAATAATGTCGATGTTGATTCAACTATAAACATTTCGTTAGTTTGATCACCAAACAATGATCATTTTGATAAGAATATATCTTTGAAACAACATACAAGTTTTCTTATTCCGATGTAGCAATGAACTCCTTTCGAACGGATCATTTGCTTGAATAGAGCAAAGAAATATGTAATATCAATGGAATATTTTGTTCATTCTACATCAACTTGAATTTTCGCCTCTAGATGGCGATCATTTCGCCTCGTCTATGCCTGCCTCGAATTCATTATATACATGAAGCCTGATTTTTCGTGTTTGAAATATCAGCAGGATAAATCGAAATCAGGATGATTAGCAATCCGAAATAGTTTTCCATCAGCTGAAGAGAAGTAAAGACTAAAGATCTATGCTAGGAGTCGACTAGTTTCCTAGTTTTGTTCATCCTATTGATGTGAAATTTCAGAAAATTCCCGAATATTGAATTTGGTCAAACAAAACAATTTGTCGAATATATGTCATTGAATTAACCAAATATTTCATTGAATTATCCAAATATTTCATTGAATCAACCAAATATTTCTTTGAATCAACCAAATATTTGATTGAATCAATATCTTGTTATTTTGAATCAAATAAAATGATTGTTTGAGCCAATTCAATATCTCTTCATAAACTATTCATGGATGTGCTTGATTGAAGAAGATCCAGAGTTCATGCAAGACATATTTACTTGATTCAAACTTCAAATTCGCTCTGAAACAGGATATAGATTTACTCATTTCAAGATAATATTTTGTCGTGCATATATGACACTTTTATTTGCTCCATTCAATTAAATTTTGCTTTATTCAACAATTCTTTTTTTTTCCGTGTAGCTGATGAACATCGTTGTTTTGAGGAAACCAATCTCGATTTTCCACACCCTATATCTCGGAAATCATTCCCGCTAGACCCCAAGTGTGCTAGGTCGTTGAATTCAGCTCTTCAAGGAGAATATAAAAATGCAATGAAATACAGGGTGTTCCATTTGGAAAAAATGATGTTTGATTTTGTGAGCCTTTCTTGCGCCCCTCGTATAAATTATAGTAATTCCTGAAGTTAGCACTCATAATGCGATATGATGTGAAATTATAATATTTCGAAAATTCCTATTGGTTCAGGAGATATTCAACTGTCCCACTGGTCTAGGGACACCCTGTATATAATTCATCTATGTTTTCATGTTTACTCATAAAAATGAATGACTTTTAGCACTAGTGCTGAAAGTATTTTATTTTTAACACCAGTGTTTTAAAATGGCATTCTAGACACTGACAGCAAGCGTAACTGATGTTTGTAGAAAAAATGTTTGAAATTACACAAATTCTGAACGATGGTAGAAAATTAATCAATTGTTGTTCTTCACTTCTAACACCAGTGTTATAAAATGGCATTTTAGACACTGACAGCATGCGTAACTGACGGTTGTAGAAAAAAATGTTTGTTGAAATTCCACAAATTCTATACGAAGGTAGAAAATAAATTGTTGTTTTTCAAAGAACCAAAATGTTCTTTTCTGGTTATTCAAGATAATGTAGTGTTTTTTCCGTTTAGAGCTCACTATACATTATTTTCGGCACAGTTTTCCACATAAATTCCCCAACTCTTTCCATCTTCACTGCACTTACCACTGAAAAAGATCGCCGCATGTTTAATTCTACACTTGCACTTTCGCTTCAAAAAAATGAGACCTCACCGTTCGCGAAGTCAATGGCAGCTCTTCTTCTTCCCCTTTATTTATACACATCCTAGAGATGGTACGGTGAAAGTGGTGAGAAGATGGCTACGGGGGGATGATCGGCGGCAATCTCAGAAGATCTCAGTGACCTTGAATTAGTTGCACACATTGCCGTTGGTAAGTGGGTACCTATTCCATATTGTTTTGTTTCGAAATGGGTTGCGCGATATTCTTTTGCGATGTTGTTGGTCTTGTTACAGTTGTAGATTGTTATTGTTTGGTCACGATTTTTTCTCAGAAATATCTGTCGGCAGTGATACGGAAAAAAATCTATTTTTATTTTGCATAATTGGTACACCATATCCTAGTTGGTATGTCCACTTTGAGGCGTATTTTTCTAAGAAGGATTCCGAATTTTCTTCTTTCCTATCAATAAACATTTCTCTAAATTTTCGGGATTTTCTCAACTCGTTTCTATGAATGGAATAAAAATATTTCAATAAACCTGTGGTAGGGGAGACCAGCTATAGTTGTCACTGTATCGATTTTATCACATTTTATTGTCGCCATATTTCATAAACAGTTCCGAATCTTCTAAGAAATGTCTTGTACATCAACAATGACAAAAAACATTCCAAGCACTTTACGACTTCTCTTTGCTTTCATGTTGAAGATGGCCAATCTGAGTTTATTCATTACTTGAAATTTATTCCTGTTTTTACTTGTTTTTACATTTCTAGGAAGCAATTGAAAAAAATCAAATTACACATTATACTCTTGAAGAAGGCATCATACAGTCTGTCCAAGATAAGGTTGCACAGCATGGGGATCTCGAAAACGGTAGGAGATACGAAGTCGGTTAAATGGGGAAAAAGTTGCGCATTCGGAGGCTCATACCAACAGCCTTCGAAAATTTTCAAAATTTATTTTAGTTTTTCAGTTATATCGAAAAAAATGAATTTTTGGAATCTCTATTTTATTTTTTTTCTGCGTTATTATTAGAGATACAGGAAAACTGAAAATATACTCATAGCAACTTTTGATGACGTTTAACGTGGTGATACCAATTTTTTTTATGCGACGTTTCGTATTCGTAGAACTATCATCAACTTTTGTTTTCTTAATACGGTCCTGATAATTCTTTCACAGATTCTGAAAGCTTTTTCTAATCTGAATTCAACCATGTATTATACAAGGTGGTTTGAAATTCCAAAGGAAAAATGCCATCAGTTTCACTTATTTCTGATTATTCAGTGTCAAACATTGATGGACTAGTTATTCGATACTGAAAAGTGAAAAAAATTCCACTAAATTATTCAATGCAGCGCTTCGAATTGTTTATGAATGGTATTCATATTTTAATCCGAAGGAGCTTGTCATAATTAAATCTTTCGAACTAATTATTCCTATAATTCTATCAATCGGAACTAGTTGATGAGGTATTAGTTTGTTGGCTAATTTTCCTTCAAAATAAGTGGAACTGATGGCATTTTTCCTTTGGAATTTCGAAAAAAACATTGATGATGGCTAAAAATAGTTCGAAACACATTCAAACCTCCTGGTATAATACATGGTTGAATTCAGAATAAAAAAAGCTTTCAGAATCTGTGAAAGAATTATCAGGGCTGTATTTGAAAAACAAAAGTTGATGATGGTTCTACGAATAAGAAACGTCGCATAGAAAAATCGGTATCACCACGTTAAACGTCATCAAAAGTTGCTATAAAAAGTATTCTTAGTTTTCCTGTATCTCTAATAATAACGGAGAAAAAAAATTAAATAGAGATTCCAAAAATTCACTTTTTTCGATATAAATGAAAAACTGAAAAAATTTTAGAAAATTTTCGAAGGCTGTTGGTATGAGCCTCCGAATGCGCAACTTTCTCCTCATTTAACCGACTTCGTATCTCCTACCGTTTCCGAGATCCCCATGCTGTGCAACCTTATCTTGGACAGACTGTATAAGCGCTTTGATTTTTTTAATGGAGTAGTCGTTCGGAAGCTCAGTCCAGAAGATTGTTGAAGATTTGTTAACAGAGTTTGACTTTTATAGGGTACTTGATAAGAATCTATAATGAAAGCCCGACAGGTCTTGAACTCATTTTGACACCCAAATGTGTATCAAAGCAACTTCTATTAGAACACGCTGAATATCTTGTTTCGAAGTAATAGTAACGTCAACGTCAAACTATCAGGCACATTACAGGTATCTTGAACATTTATTACCCATCAAATTTGCTGGTAAGTTGTTGGCTGAGACAGAATTAGCTCATAATAATTATCTAACCTTCAGCAACTGCTGAGGATTTCATGGCCTCTATTTGCTTAATGAGACACACTAGAACGCCGAAAACAATGTTCTGTGAAAATCTCAGGATTTGGTGATTTAAGATATTCTGCAATGATTCTTGGCATTTTTTCAATTGTGCATGTTAATTCTATTCATGCAGTATAACCATTGCGGTTTATAGGTCAACAAGAAGCGCTTACATTTACATATTGTGGTGGTATAGGTCGCCAGTTTGACACCATACTTGAAAATTTTGAATTTTTTTTTCATAAGCTGGATGAGATTTCTTGGGCAAAAAATCATTCATAGCCGTTTGGGCGAATTCCCTTAGTTCAGGAGGGGTGCAACTTGAGTTTGCCTCTTCAGTCATTCTCAAAATAGAAAATTCAGAAATTTGTTAAACCAACAATTTCAAATTATATCACTAGGAAAATTATGTTAATCTGAATAATTTTTTTACTTATCAAATTTGGGAATGAACATTCAAATGATTTTCATTGTTACCAATTATACTCACTTTATATCTTTCTGATGTTTGATGTTTTTATTGATGAATTTTTTCAAATAAAAGAGTGTTTTGGAGCACTCCTCGCTTCGCTCGTCCTAATCCAAAAAACGCGTGCGACGGAATAGTGTCTTATAAGACTTGTATGATGATATACTACCCTTAACTACTAATCATACGTCTCAGAGACGGCATATCAGCATCCGATTTGTTGGTTTACTCCTGCTTTTCAATATCGGCCATTGTCCTACCACGTAATTTATGTCCATCTAGCACTCATTCAGTACCCTGAAGTTAATCTATGTATGTGGTTCAGTTTCAGAAATATCTTGAGTGAAAGATTGATTGCCGTCTCGTAGACGTATAGTTAGTTATTACGTAACAATAAAAGTTCAATTTCGCCTATAATACGTATGAAAGCTTCTATATCTAGATATACAGGCATTGTCATTCTTTTCAATTTGCATGTTCAAGACTTAGTTCTGTGCCATATTATATTACGACTCTAACTGTATTCAGAATGAGAATTATATCATCGATAATTTCAGTATTTCAATTCTATTTTAGTATTTCTATTGATCAATGTCAAAATTTTGAACATTAGGTACTCCTCTATGGAATTTTGATCGCTACTGAAATTTGTATTTCTATTTAAATTCTGAACGTCATTTTCTCTTCGCCGAATATGTACAGAACGTGTTTGAATAGCTCAGAAAAATAAAATAAAAACATTTGGATTCATATTGACATTTAAATAATCCCGTCTGTAAGACGTATGGTGAGTGACAACGTTATATATTTGGAACGTTAGTAGTTGAGGGTTTATTTGAGTTCCTATACGTGTCTACGGATCAGGAGGCGTAACATTTATTGAATTAAAAAGGGAGGGCGCAAAAAACGAAATTAGTATGAGAACCGCTGAATTGGCCCTTCAGGTCCTACGAGATGACGTTGATTTTTGGGACACCCTGTATATTATCAAGAGAGTAGAATATTTTACTTCATCATCTATTCTATCGAGCAAAAAAATGAATTCGACCATATTATTGTACTAATAATGATTTCCAATTTTGCGAATAAAATCCAGTACCTAGATATTCGATCAATAGCAACAGTATCTTCTGCAATGCAGTTTCATCAATATCTCAATCACTGATGAAGATAACGAAGATACCAATACAATTAGAATACCACTTTCCTTTTTAAGCAGCGAAAAAGGCAACAAAATGTAACATCTTTTCTCTTTCAAAATAAGGTGTTCATATCGTTTAATTGACCAGATTAATAACTTCTTCGCAATAATGCTATTCTGGATTTCAATACAGTTTTTTAATTGCGCACCATGAATATTATTATGTTAATCATGAATTGATGTACACTCTGAATGAGTAGTGGTGATTATCCTTGAAATCCTCTAGTAAGGAGAGTGAAATTATTGAAATACGATCTCATTTTATGAATTCACTGGACAACCAATTCTAGTTAATTCGTGCTATTTTGTGTGGAAAGACCTGTTTTGTTAATAATGGGGCAGTGAATACGGCCAACTGCCATCCTAAAACATTTTTTTCTACGGCTTTAACACAAAATTGCTCCTGTTTCAGTTTACTTGTTTAATGCTAATTTCCCACTCGTCTTCGGCTCATACTGCAAACTTAAATCCCGTGGGAAATGACTATCATATCGTGCTCGTTAAACAATATACTATTTCACGCGACCTCGACAAATAACAGGTCAAATAATAGTTGATTTCACCACGATAACTTTCAGAGAGAATAATAGTCATTATTGCAAGTAGTACACTGTACTTTATCAACGGCTAATTCATTTATTCCAGATTTTCAATACAAACGTTCAATAACAACATTTTGAAAAACCTTTTCATGTTATTTATCTTGTCATTATGTCTCACCAGAGATTATACACACGTGTATAATCTCTGGTCTCACACAACAATCAATTTCATGTATCGCTTTAATTTCGCAAACACGCTGTATAGGCACATATGACATCAATCGTTTCTCTGGAACTTCAAAACTTATATTGAAAGAATATTATCGTACTTCTTTTCGAAACATCAAGAATAGGAAGATTCAGTGCATCATACTTAGGAAAAGATGAAACAAATAGTTATTTCCAACTAGGAAAAAGCCAAATACTCCTCAAAGTGGAATGCAATCTCGAATGCAATGGTCACAAAGAGAGAGCAACTCAAAGTAATTACCACACTAGTTCATAATATGAACTAAAAATGATAAATAACGAGAGAAAAACAACTACTTTCCTGGCTATATGCCACGCAGGATATTGGACAACATGAATAAATATTTATTATGCAAGGACAATAGTTATATTTATATCTTTTTAACATTTCTATCTTGATTATTCCAAATTTTTTGGGATTTTCTCTCCTCGTTTCTATCTTGCTAATATTTGATGTTTTTATTTGTGAATTTTTTTAGATGACATAGTATGAATTGATACAAAATAGAAAGAATAGTATATTATACACGTTTCATAAGACACATTGTCGCAGAAAGATTCAATGTATCATACTTATGAAAAGATGAAAGAAATAGTTATTTCTAACTGTTCTATTTCAAATAGCACCCTGTATATTTTTTGCAATTTTTGATTTCTACTCAAAATTACCGTTTGAACGATGTATCATACTCCGTATTTTAAATTTGATTTGATGGAGAAAACGACAATTGAAATTTCAAAATGAACGAACCGCAGTACGCAGGCTACGATATTTTTGTAATCTTGATTTTGACTTCAATGATAAACTCAAATCATTAGAATTGTAGTAGATCATGTAATTTTCAAATTTTCATCTTTCGAAATGGCTGAGATAATCTATTGGAACAGGTATACTGGGACACCTGGTATATCCGGGAAAAAAGTACTCACTTTTTTGCCGTGTGAAAAAAGTAATTTATGAAAAGGGACATTTCATAACCTGTCAACAGAGATGAAATGTCAAACCTCTTTTCCCGTCACAGAAAAACATAATTTCTGATGATACTCATAATAAGTGAGGCGAAGTCCGAGTTCAGTTATGATTATCATATCTTCACTGATCCTAGATGAACTCATCTTCTTTGAATCATTCTGCAGTCGGAAGTTTTGAGCTATAATACGTCCAAGCTAAATTGAGTATGACTCAATTAAACAATGTGAGTGACTTAGATTGCATAACTTGAAGAAAGTATTCACATTTTCGGATATAAATAGTAATAAAACTAAATGTACCGTCAACAAGTAATAATGAAAACGAAGAAAGGTACCTACATAAATGGCAATAATTTGTCAGCCGATATTCTTCCTTCGATTCCGCAATATAAGTATATAGATATTATTCGCAACTTTCATAATTCAGATAGAGATTCATAATTTTTATTTCCTCGCAAATGAAAAATGACATTCTCCCATCAGGAAGCGTAGTCGAATTTCCTGCAGGTCCTACTACATTAGGAAGTTTTAACGACCATATATACAGGGGTGTCAATCTACCATACAAGTCATAAGGTCTAGAATATTAGATGTCTCAATATTAGATTTAGTATGGGTAGATGGTATATAAGTTTACTCTCTGAATCCATCGAATATGACTTCGGTTTTGAATTTTCAAATATAACACCCTTTATATTGCAGCATTATTAGATTCCTGAAAATAGTGGATCAGAATGTGATACATTTGGAAGTTTCTTATCAAGGAAATTTCACTGTCTGATCATAACATTCTAATGACTTTATCAACATTTTCATAACACTTCCACTACAATAACTCCCATCTTGTTGCCAATTGTGTTAGTTGTCAATTCGCAAGCTTCCATTGATGAAAGAACTGAAAGGTATTCCTAAAATAGTTATAACAAACTGAGATGCCAACATATCTTTTATTAATTTATATTTTTCCTGTTGTGATTTTATGGAGAATACATACAAATATAATGAAACCAGTGTATATTGGGGGTAGCAGCAGTGTAAAGGAATACTCTTCAAAGTTTATCCAAGCTTTCGGAAATGTTAATTTCCATCATCATTTTGAATTTATATTTGATTCAATACCTTCCAAAATAACTCAAAAAATGAAAACGGTATTTCATACTTCTTGCTATTTTCATTCTGAAAAATCCCAAATTATTTATATGAAAAAATCACATTTCGTGAAGATGTTCACTCAAGAGAAACAAGAAATCGACATCACATTTCAGCTCCAAAACATAAGAATGCTTTATTCCAAAGATCTTCTTCATATAACATAGCTATAATACACAATGCTTTCCCAGATTTGCTCTCGGCAGATTCAAGTCTACATTGAGAAAAAATAAACTTGAAGGTACACTATTCATTTAACTCAAATCATATGAATATGATATGTCACTCCACGGTCAGTCTAATATAATAGATTTCTCCAGCTCCGTCGTCACCCAATTTTTTATTCGTTCCACCCAGTGGGTATTTGCGTCAAGATATTTCACTAATTTTCTTATTTCATGTCATCATTCAGTTAATTCATCATTGATATCATTAATAATCTCATAAACTTACTATTTATGCTATTTATACATGTCGTGTAGAAATATTTACATTTTTTCAATTTGAATTGAGCATTTTTTTTTGGTGTAGGGTCGAATGGAAGAGCAGTCTCCTGCATTCTTCGAATGTGTGTGAGTGAATTCCGCCTTTTTCTACCGTGGTATAAATAAAGACATATTATTATCATTATTATTATAATCCCCGACTCTGTCAGGGTTGTAATATGTTTGTGATTGTGGTTGGTAGCACTGGACAGTTGACGGGGGTCGGTTCTTGTTCCATGCTCCTCGAGGTCAACATATTATCATTATCATGTATGTATGTGAATGTCGACTTTTATTAAAGTATAATTATATTGAGTAGTCTGAAACGTATTCATCTCATCCTAATCATACCTACCACGAACCTACCAAACATGGCGCAGTCGGTATAGGTATAGTCCTGGGTATAGTTTATCCAGTGAGACAGGAGCACGGGAGCACGAGGTACCACAATAAGGTTAGGAAATATCATGGCAACTGCTGCAGTGGCAGCGAGACCCCCAAGGGAAATGTCCTTTGATGGTAATTTGGGTGCCAGCTGGGAATTCTTCATTCAAAAGTTCGAAATATATCTGCTAGCAGCCCGACTAGACAAGGAAACCGAGGAGTACAAGGCCGTGGTATTCTTGAATACTGTGGGGGACGGCGTGATCAAAATCTACAATAACCTCGAATTTCAAGCAGCTGGAGACAGGCAGAAGTATTCTGTTATTACCCAAAAGTTAAACGAATACTTTATTCCAGCTAAGAACGTGACTTTTGAAAGAAATGTATTCTTCACTCGAAATATGAGGAGTGAGGAAACCATAGATGAGTATTGCAATGATCTCAGAAGGTTAAGTAGCACCTGTGAATTTGGGTCATTAACAGACAGCTTAATAAAGATTATTTAGAGAACCCAATTTAACACTAAAGAAAGCTATCGAATTATGCAAAGCAGCTGAACAAGCTAACAAACAACTCAGTCAGATAGTTAATACAAATGTGGAGGTAGATGCAGTTCAACACAACTCATCTAACTACCAGCGTCATACAGATCGCCAGCGTAGTACATACCATCAAGCCCAACGTTAAAACCGTCAGCGTGAAGAAAAAACTGGTGTCTGCTATTGCTGTGGAAGAGACCATTCAAGGGATAGGTCTGAGTGTCCAGCAAAAAATGTGAGATGTAACCTATGCAAAAAGAATGGGCATTTTGCTAGACTATGTCGCAGTAGTGTAGTACACTCTGTAGTAAGTGGGTCATGCAGTCAAGCAGCTAGCAATGAAGAATATGATCAGCAGGATGACATTGGTTCCACATTGTTTTTAGGAAATATTGGAAATTCTGATATAGATTTCAAATCAGGTAAATCTTGGAATCAGATATGTGTATTGGATGGTATTAGGAGTGTTTCATTCAAACTTGACACTGGGGCAGAGGCCAATGTCCTACCATTGAATATATATGAGAAGTTACCTATTAGTAAAAAACATTCCTTGATACCATTCAGGGGAAAGCTAAGCAACTATAATGGGGATAATCTAGAAACAGTGGGGAAATGCGACATCAAAACAAGTATTGGTAATAATGACACTTTTATTGAATATCACATTGTTAATGTAAATAATGTACCACTCCTCGGATTGGAGGCATGTTGTGAGTTGAAATTGATCAACAGATGTGACATCAATGTCATAAAATGTAGTAATAATCAAATCCACAGATTAGTTGAGAAAATTGAGAATTGTTTTGATGGTCTAGAATGTCTACTAACTATTCATCGCATAACAGTTAATCCAGATGTTATGCCTGCCATTCATTCACCTAGGAAAGTTCTCTTCGCCCTGCATGATCAGCTGAAACAAAGACTGTTGTCATTAAAAAATAGTGGAGTTATTAGTAAAGTCATAAAGCCAACAAAGTGGGTTAGCTCACTGGTGATTGTACATAAACGAGACAAATCTATCAGATTATGTCTAGATCCAACAGATCTCAATAAAGCAATATGTAGGGAGCACTACACTATCCCTACCTTAGATGAAATTTTGAGCAAAGTACAGGGAGCAACAATTTTTTCAACCATAGATTGTAGCAATGGGTTCTGGCAAATGAGGTTGGATGAAGAGAGCTCTGATCTGCATTTAATACACCTTTTGGTAGGTACAAATATTCGCGCCTTCCTTATGGTATTTCGTCAGCACCAGAAGTTTTCAGTAGAACAATAAAACAGTTATTTGATTCAGTAGTGGGGGTAGATGTCTATGTAGATGATATAATTATTTGGGGCAGTAATATTGAAGAACACAACCAACGATTAAAGATTGTATTTGAAATTGCAAAGCAAAATAACCTGAAATTTAATAAATCAAAATGTCGTTTTGGTATGGATGAATTTGTATATATGGGGCATAAAATTAGCAGCAAATACATTTTGCCAGACACATCTAAAATTGAAGCAATAAATGCTATACAGATTCCTCAAAACAAGAAAGATATTGAGCGTCTTCTTAGGCATGGTGCAGTATGTTATACTAGAACCTACCAAACAGACTCTACTCTACTGGTTACGTGTTGAATGAAACAAAATTCATTTTGTGAATCTTATCGTTGATTTTGATTGATGCATTGAATTTTCTTCGATCGCCCATGGGGGGCAAGGAGGGTGGGGGGAGGAAAATTTCCAATATTACCCCCTTCCTTGTATATACGCGCACCTGGAACATTATTTCAAGAATCTGGGAGGTCATGACAGCAGAAGTCGACCTCATTAGTCGTTCGTGCATCTTGACTTTGCTCTTAATAGCCAATTTTGAATCGCATCATGTACACTGATAATTGGTCGGTGTCGAAACTATTATTATTCAATATCTACCTACCGACATAATGTATTCAAATTAGCCTGTGGCCGATACGAATTTACAGTACCTAATTCATTTTCGCAACTGATTCTTCGCATTTCGAAAGGTTGGCAAATTGTGTGCGAAATTGGAAGCAATGAAAATGTCGTGCTCGAGATAAGTCGCTTATTTTCTATGTCATGGATTTTTTCCTCATTCTGTCGTTGTTACATACCTACCAAGTTTGATGGACATCAGATCTAGGAATTAATAAAATCAATATCTTTTAATCTTGCCACACCCTGTATCTCGAAAAACTACGGAACTTCTTTTTATATGCTTGCGAGAAATGAATGCTTGAATTTTGTCATAATGTTATATATAACACTGTGCAGATTTTCTTGGAAATAAAACATTTTAACATATTCTTTGACAAAATAGTGTCAATAATGATAATTAATGTCTTAACTACCGACATTTCCAAAGATGAATATCCAGAATCCAAAACTCTGACAATATTGAATTTATTTAGATAACATAGATGACATTGAACCAAATTGAGGAATGAACGTACACTACTCATTCTATCTGCTTTTTCACACTATACCAGGAAGAAGGATAATAAGAGGATTTAGGTATAGGAAACTATACCTACCGTTGCGGGTGTGCTGTGTTATAAAGATAGATATAATAGTCCGTGGGCATAAGTAGATATTTCGAGGAAATCAAGACACAAATCGTTACGATTTTTTCGAGAAGAAGTGTACATATATAGTAGAAAATGGTATTCATTACGATACACACCATTTACGGGTTGAAGCTAGTGGTGCTTGAGGGTTATTCGTATTCCAACTCAACAGGAAACACAGAAAACTGATTTTGATGACACTTTATTTTGGTATGAGTCGCGTGCACATTATTTGTCATATGACCGACCTTGGATTATCTCCTTTTCTTATTATATCACGAAGGATTGAGATAGCGTTTCACATCGCATACGAATCGAGTTTTTTGCGCTATACCGAGTGTAACAGGATCATGGTATACCGAACCATTTCAATGAACTTAATTTGGTGATAAATCAAGAAATTTGCCATTCTTGACATAGGGATTAAATTTTTTTAACATTACAGCTGTCGATATGGGTACATCAAATCAAAAATGAAATTCAAATAAATATTATATTCTAGAGAGACATGACAAAACTTCGAAATGAAAACTATGTGAGTGACTACAGGACAAAGGTTTGAATGACATAAGAATGAGGATATCAAAAGGAGTTCAACTAGTGTAGAACTTTCTTATAGAGAAGAATGAGTAGGAGAAATATATATTGAGTGATCCTTTCCTGAGTTATTATCATCATTATCATTATCACAAACAAGATGGTGTTACACATTTCGGAAAAAGAGCCTTGATTTCTTGAATTTTGAATTATCTTCAGGGATGAATTAGGTGTCTGATTGAGGGGAGTTCTAGATGCTCGGACATACCAAGGGAGTCTGTGACCATTCTAGCTAATTTATTCTGAATTGTTTGAAGCTTAGTGAAGGTAGTCTTCGATGCTTGCCCCCAAGCTGCTGAGGCATTTGGATGAAACACTATGCTAAAAATACCAAATCAATCATGTGTGCAAAAATATTATCAAGTGGATTTTTCGCATTATTTCAGTTGAAAACACCACTCGACCAAAGAACCCTGATCAACGTTTATTATACTATTATGAATTCACACATAACGGATGATATTATTTATCCTATGGGGAGGAGTCATTTGAAAAGATCGGAGTCATGTAAACCATATTTCAAGAAACATTCATTATTGACTGTTCCGTGTATACAAATATGTAAAACTGTGCGATTTCCTTTGGGTATGCAGTCAAAGAAAAACAAAGTGTACTCTTGTTTCTGTTCAAGCTTTCGAGTCTTTATTGGCTCTTCATCAGGAACTGGTAAATGAGATTTCGTTGAATCTGGCTTCCATCAAGTGGGGAATAATACATGTGTAAAAGAACATTCACGACATGAGAACATTCTGTATTTAAATGTCTTGAATGTATTTTCTTTGTGATTCTTCAATGAATGTATGATTGTTTCTTCTCAATATGTAGCTTTATATTAAGATTTACTCTCAGATATTTTTTATACTTCTTGATTGACATGTCATATTTTTCATGTATATGAACAAAAAGGATGAATGAATATTCTATTCTATTCAATTAATTGTTTTTTTTCATGACCCTCCTGTATAATCTTTCATGGTGCCAAACTTCAGTCTGGCGATGGCGCTGCTTCTTGCTTGTTTCACCACGAAACTGGAGAAACTTCATTGTATAGAACTTTGAGCAAGGTAATAGTTTTGTTCAAAATCGCATCACTCATAATTATAGTCATAGCCCATAGAATTTCATAATATTGATTCCATGATCTAGACAGAGATAGTGTATTCTTTTTTTTTGTTGAGATTTTCAAAACGTAGTGTTACTGACTGTTGATGTAAATGAAGGTTCTGAAAATGAAATTCTGAATCATACTTACTTTCCATTTATACAGACGATGAGAGAGAATTCGAAAAATCAGTTATCACACGTTAGAATGAGATGAGAGCAATAAAAGGTAAGCATTATTCATAGATAAAATGTATGTAGGTACATTGCAATCTATTAATTTTGAGTCTGCCGTATATGAAATAATAATAAATATTCGAATAAAAGCTCTTTATTATAGAATCATAATAAAACCGTAATGATATTTGATTTTATATTGCAATACATTTCACGGTAGATGTATGAAACGTGAGATACTGAGAATCAGTTAAAGTATAAATTAGAAGGTGAAAAAAGACAAACAATGTGACAACTATTGGGATCTCGTGTCTAGTCATCCATTCAACTGTAAATTTATGAGGTACTACCTTGTTTTATTCGATTCGTGACCTAGTGAGACAAGTTGCACACCACAAGCACCAAAAGGGATGCATCTCTTTGAATAATCAGCCATTGCATGAATATACGGAGACATCCCAAAATCAGGTTGAAATATTTTTCTAGGATGGTTTATTTGTCATAGTGTTATGGTATTCATCGTGTCATTGAAGATTGATATATAGGGTCTCTATAAATGATCGTAACATCGTAGTGGCTGTTGAAATTTTTTTCTATTTGCCGCTTTCTACTAATGCTGTTAACAACATTTAACGACCAAAAAGAGAGGAAATGATTATATACAGGATCATTATTTATATCGTTTTGCATACACTATGGAAATGTATCTCAAAGAAAGGAGAGTCCAATATTGAAGTTTGAAAAATAATGGAACAAATCAAAAATATTTATTAAAGAAGTAA